TAGAGTTTGATTAGGATTTGACTAAGATTTGTCTAAGATTAGTTTAAGATTTGGTTAAGACCTATTCAGGGTTCAAGATTTGATTTAGGATTTGATTTTATTAAGATTTGGTTAAGATTTAAGATTTGATTTAGGATTTGGTTTAGATTAGAATTTGGTTAGGATTCGTTTATAATTTGATTAGAGTTTGGTTAGGATTTATTTAGGATTCGATCAGGATTTAATTAAGATTTATCTAGGATTTGATTAGGACTTATTTAGGATTTGTTTAAGGATTGTCTAGAATTTGATTAAGATTTGTTTAGGATTTGATTACGATTTGGTTAGGATTTGTTTAAAGTTTGATTAGGATTTTTTTAGGATTTGATTAGGACTTATTTAGGATTTGTCTAGGATTTGACTAGGGTTTGGTTTAGGATTTGGTTAGGACCTTTTAGGATTTGATTAGAGTTTGACCAAGATTTTATTAGGTTTTGACTAAAATTTAATTAAGATTTTTATTTTAATATTTTATTAAGATTTCTATTTTAGTATTTTTTTAACTTCTATGTTTTTTAATGGTTTCTTTAAAAGTTCTCTAAAAATTCTTTATATTATTTATATAATTTCTTTAAAATTTTAATTGAATTTAATTGATGTTTGATTATATTTTTTAATTTTTAATTATAATTTATTTAAGGATCTATTAGAGTTGTTAAGACTTATTTTTTCAATTCTTTTTTTTATCTTCCACAACTAAGTGCCTAATATATTTTCAAGCTAAATGCCACATAGTACGACATTGGTGAATCGGTTTAATGAGGCCATACTATTGAGTCTTTTTTCTAGCTCAATTATTTTAGCTTCTAAGGCATTTTATTTTTTTATCTAAAGCATGTTATTTGTATGGATGTAATATGAAGTAATTATCTTTATTTTGATTAAGCTTATAACAATGAGTACACTTTAATTGTTTCTTAGATTTATCTTTTATTTTAGCCATATTAGCTTTTGGCTTAGACTTCTCTATATATAAGGATTTTTTTTCTTAGAATAGTTGAGATCAATTTTGATTTGATCAGATTCAATATGCCTCTAATAATACATAGTCTTTTCAGGTTGAGTTTCTACCAAGCTACTTGTTGCAACTGCCATCTTTTTAGGCTTAGACACATATGTCATCCAAGCTATTATGTCAATAGCATCATATTTAGAAAGTTTCTTATTTTTTAACTTCAAAAAATACTTGTACTAAGTTGCCTTGCCATCATAGTTGAGAATAATTTTTAGTATGTTTAAATCTAAAAGTCTCTTATTAATCTTAGATAAGAAGATCTTAACAAGTTGGCTCTTAGCAAATGCACCTTGTAACTCTATTACAAACTAAGCCAAACAAGTATATATGGTATATAGAGTATCTTCCTTTTTACAATCAAAATCTTTAATGCATCATATTTGATCATGTCTAAAATTTCTATTTTTATGCTTCAAGTTCTTAATAAACATTTGAAGAGGTTTAAATAATGGTGGTTCTTCCATTATAGATAAAGATGCCTTCATTACTTGAGCCATACAAGATAAGATAATTAAAGTGTTAATTAAGGAAGTAGCTACTATTTTTTCTTTGATATCTTTCAAAGATGTACTAACTTTTCTTTAGATTGGATCTTTTTCCTTCACCATATACATGAAGCTTGAAATAGCACTTTTTTTAAGAAATAAAATAAGCTATGTATGTTTTTTTTAATAATATTATACTTCATGCAATTTAAGTGAGTATTCTTCACTCTATTTTTCATAGGTTTGAAGTACCTTGTATTTCATGTGTTGGAATAAGAACTCAAAGATATATTACTAATTAAAAGTGAAAGATCTTTGAATCTTTTCCTTCATCTATGTTTGAAGTATAAGTTTTTAATGTAATAAAGAAATATTGTCAATTCTTTTTGAGAATTTATTCTTTATCATATTACAAGAATTGTATTTTAACTTATAAAATATATTCACTTCGAAGATCCAAAGCCTTCAAATAGAAGCAAAAATAAAAAATGAATTAAAGAAATTGATTTTTTTTTAATTAATGGTAAAAAATTATAGAACCTATGACAATAAAAAATAATTGCAATAAAATAAAATGTATAGAAATAAAAGAAAATAAAAAAATTACTAAAAAAAAAATCAGTATTTATTAAATCCCACTTCAATGCTCTAAATGACCTCCACTTTAGAAATTAAGTATGCTAATAAATTCTTTGAATTTCTTTCAGATAAAATTGATTAAAAAATAAATGAATTTGGACTCCATATGCATTTGGAGTGTACTTCCAAACTTGATACTTAAAAGCTATATATATATATATATATATATATATATATGTATTTTAATGTCTTATAATTATATATTGGATCTATGACCATGGACCCTGTTACTATAGCCCTATGATTGTAGTTGTTGTCATTATAGTCCTATAACCATGGATCATATCATTATATACTTATGCTTTGAGTTACTATCCGTTGCTGCAAATTTTTGTTGTTTTTTTTATAGTTCATACCAAATCTTTGTGTTGCATTACCTTGTACAAAGTACTTTGCCAAACAACCTCCTTTTTGTTGCTTTGAATGCCAAAGATCCAAAAGTATAATGCATTATTGTGATCAGAACAAATCTCATAATAAGAAAAAAATAAAATTGTGCCCTTATGTTCAATAATAAGCTTTATAGCTCTATTTCACAACTCCAATAATATCTTGTAATTTTGCCTTGTGATCTTAGTGCTACCTCACTGTCCTGCAATGACTACTACCTCTAACGTCCATCAATCTTGTATCTTGTATTGCATAGTACTTGTGATGATTAATATGGCTATACTCAACAATGCAATAGTGCAACCTAGCTAGATTTTGGTACCCAACATAGTAGTATCTAAAATCCAACAACAAAAGAAATCTAAATTATAAATTTTATTTTATTATTTTTTTGATCTACTTCATTTTAACTTACTATATCTCAAATTGAAGAAAAAGAGAGATTCTTGTCAAGTGAAAGATTAGAAATCTACACCAAACTAAGTCAAGCTAGTTCTTAGACCACAAAGAGAGAATCCAATAGTGCAAGTATGAAAATAAGAAAAATCCTAGAACTTTATTAAAATGGCTAAAACACCATAGCCAAGCAAACCTTTACAACAAATTCTTTCATTCTCAAAATCACTCACAAGACTTGACTTGACAAGAATGTAAAGTGAAGAATTTTTTTTCCAGTTAAATATTTATATTCTAATTGATATGAACAACTCAACTAATGAAAAAAATACTAATAGATGAAAATCCACTAATCAAACTAAACTACATACATCCAATGAAATTTGGTAATTAATGCCATATCATATGACATTGTTTTTGACTCACCCTAAAATATAACTCATATTAAGGAATTGGTGCCAATTATAGTTATATTATCATAATCAATGTGGTGAATAAACTTCAAAATATTTTGAGTTCCGAATTGTAATAAATAATGACTATTATTTTTTGCTTTCATTTTGCCACCACCTAAGTGTAGATAATTTTAAAATCACTTGAACAGTCTTGAATTGAGTGTAGTTGATAAACAAAATTTAGTAATCATTTATAGACATAATTAGTTGTGAGAAAGGATCTTAGTATCAAAAGATATCTAAGAATAGTATATTAAATTTAACAAACAAATTTAATCTGTAAATTGGTGGTATTGAATTTTTTTAATAATAATAATGTCTTTTGATGATTTGAACAATATTTAATAAGATTGGTGTATAAATTAATTAATACATTTAAAAAAAATAACATGTGTGAGGATTTTGACACATGATAAATTCAAAAATATATAAAAGAATTTATTCACAAAGAATATAATAAATCGTTGATTTTTTAAAAAAAATAACTAAATTATTAAATAATATTTAATTAATTTTGAAAATTTTATTTGTTAACTATTGTATATTTTTTAAGTATTAAATATAATAATATCATACATAATATGGATGCTTAGAATAATACATGTACATTTTTGGTTTTAAAAAACCAATTTTTTATAGACATTCTTGTTATTATGATTCTTTTTAATATTTTATTTTTTCTCTTTTTATTTATATTTATTACAAGTATTGAAATAAAATAAAAATATTATCATATATATATTTATTCATTTATAGATAGATATTTATTTAAAAAATTTGATAACTTAATTATGAATGTTAATACTAAGCATAAAATAATTACATAGTCAAAGACCACTTTACTTTTAATTTGTCACCACAAGATTAAATTCGGTGTATAAAAAAAAATATAGAAACTAACTATTTCAAAATTGAGTTAATGTTTGATATTTAGTTTATTTTATTAAAAAAATTAATTTATTATTTATTTTGGGATACATAAATAATAAGAGGTCTCATTATCATGTATAATAATTTTATATATATATATATATATATATATATAACAGAATATTAAGTAGATCTAAGTTTTTATTAAATTAATCCATCCATCCCAAACATTATGAAAAAAAATAATAACATCTAGATTCATTTTCCTACCATTGGAATTGCAACCAATAAAAATCAACTATATTCAATATGATTACTATATTCTTCATCAAGAATATGTCTATTTAATAAAAAAATCTGTTCGTGACCCGCCCCACCACACGTTCGTTGAACGGATGAATGTACGAATGGGCAGGTCATCCACATTCCCGACCATTAGTTCATTCATCCATCAACCCCATCCGATGAACTGGGGGCGTGGTTGGGCATCACCCTGGGAGCACCGGGATGCCATCGGATGAGGACGGACGGTGGGCATGATGCGAGGGCCCGGCAGGGCGGGGGCTGCGAGGTTGTGGGGGGTAGCTCGATGCTGCTGCAGCCGCCAAGGGAGGACGACGGGTGGGGCCGGGCAGGGCGGGGCTTTCGAAGGTGCCCCCCATGCCTCGGTATTATCATCAGTCTCACGAGAGAGGGGAGCTGGAGGAATGGGGGCCCAGGGAGTAGCAGCAGGGTGAGAAAGAGGCACACGGACACATACACAACAACATACACACACCAATACACTCTCTCGCATACTCAGATTTAACTTACATTGGGAAACAGAACGAGAGAGAGAGACCGAGAGAGAACGAGAGAGGGGGTCCCTCTTTTCCCTTACCTGTCCTGCCTGCCTGACGGGGGACTGTGAGCCTGGGTTTCTTCTCCCCAACTCTGGCTCTAAACCTTGAGAGCCCATTTCTGTGCCGCCCCCCCTTCTCCCTCCCTCCCTCCCTCACCCTTCTTGTCCCTGCCTTTGTGCCCTCTTTGTGCGTGCGACGCTGTGACATTGGTGTTGACGGCGTGACCATGGCCGCTTCAACCCTTGCGCATTGTGCCTGCCATGGATCATGCGTGGCGGCTGCCTCTGACGACGCTGTGGTGCTTGATAGGTTTCAGGGATTGCGGAAGCCGGCATTCATCTCTTCCAGACGGGGCAGTGTGAGTTGGCGTGGGGCGACCAAGCCCAATTTGAGTTGGGACGGTGCGAGGGTTGAGGTGCCCGTGCGCGCCACTGCCTTGCGGCCTGGGCGGTATGTGAAGGAGCAAGGCGGAGCCATCGTTCCTATCTCACCTGAGGACGGCCGAATTAATTTCTTGGAGGATGAGGTCAAGGTGCGTTCATTCGAGGAGTTGCCTAATGAGAGCAGAGGCGGGATGTGGGTGAAGCCCTCTTTCCAGCGCAAGACGAAAATTGTGTGCACAATCGGCCCTACCTCGAACACCAAGGAGATGATTTGGAAGCTGGCTGAGGCTGGCATGAATGTGGCCCGGCTCAATATGTCGCACGGGGATCACGCCTCGCACAAGAAGGTGATTGATCTCGTGCGGGAGTACAACAAGGAAGCGAACGCGAATGTCATTGCCCTCATGCTTGATACCAAGGTTTGTAGTCTTTATCTTTTAACTCTGGTTTTTGTCATGGGGTGTTTGTTTGGCACTGTGCAATGTTAGTCGTGGTTAATCCGTTTGTAAATCCTTAGATTCCCTTAATTTTTCATCTCTCTCCTGAAAAGTGAAGTTCTGAATCTGTATTCTACAGGGCCCAGAGGTTAGGAGTGGAGACTTGCCACAACCTATTATGCTAAAGAAGGGCGATCCATTTACCTTCACAATTAAGCGTGGAGTGGGAACGGATACGTGTGTGAGCGTGAACTACGATGACTTCGTGAATGACGTTGAAAGCGGAGACACCCTGCTTATCGATGGTAAGTATTGCGTGCACTCATTACAGGGATCCGTGTTACCTCAATTGTTTAGCCGTTTACCGTAATCAAGTCTCGTTCTCTTCTACCATTGCCCAGAATTGTTCAGAGTCAAAGTTCGCTGTGGATACGGTAGGCAACGGTGCGAAGACTAATGGAGCTTGTGATTTTGACGAGATCAGGAGGCATGATGTCGCTAGAGGTAAAGTCGAAGACGCATGAGGAAGTTCTCTGTGAGGTAGTGGACGGGGGTGAACTGAAGTCTCGTCGTCATCTCAACGTGCGTGGCAAGAGTGCCACTCTACCCTCCATTACAGGTATGCCATTTTTTTGTGATCGAATAAGGCCATATCGATATTTCTTTTGTTGTCATATCTTTTATTTAGACTGTCTGATTTAGACACTCCGTCGCTTGCTCTTGTCACCTACTTTTGTTTTTCTGTGGAATCTCCAGAGAAAGATTGGGAAGATATCAAGTTTGGAGTGGAAAACAAGGTGGACTTTTATGCCCTATCCTTTGTCAAGGATGCTCAGGTGGTGCATGAACTCAAGTCCTTTCTAAAAGGTATGTTTCGCACGTCATTCTTGTGTACTATTCTCAGAATAGTTTTCTGGTGGAGTGTGAGCTTCATTGAACAGCTGTGACCTTTTGTGAAGAGGACTAGTTCGTTATTCGTTCCTCCATGCTTTCCTCTTCAAGCCATGTGTTAGCTTGCTCCACATCATGTCTTTTTATTATTAACTAGCCAGTCAATTTCATATACTATTTCAGATTGTTGGTTGCTATAGTTAGTGTAGTTGTTTGAACGTGCATGTTCCGAGGCCCTCTCTTAGCGATGTTGAAATCCTCAACATTACTTATCTGAGAAGCATCCGTGCTTTTCAAATGTGTGTTTTCTGGGATGGTACAGGAAAGTCTGCTGACATTCACGTTATCGTGAAGATTGAAAGCGCTGATTCAATCCCCAACCTGCAATCTATACTGGATGCAGCTGATGGAGTAGGCTTCTTATTTTTTATACTTTATTACTCTGGCTCTGACGGTGGTGTGATATTCTTTCTTGAATCTATAACTGTACGTGTGCTTCAGAGCAAGTGTCTTGTTCGTGTGGAGGACTACTTTATGCATGTGTAAGGTCATGTTTTGCACATCATCACGAAACGCATTTTGGTACAGTGTGAGCGCCATATTAAAATTTTCAACTGTTTTCCTTTCAGGCTATGGTTGCTCGAGGAGATCTTGGAGCTGAGCTGCCAATTGAGGAAGTGCCCCTTCTGCAGGTACAATGCGAAATTAGCTGAGTCTACTTACTTTTCTCTTATAGTCGCATTTGAGAATGGGAACTCTTTTAGTCAATCAGCATGGTATGTATCGTGTAACAGTACGGTCCTTGTTGATTTGTAGTGCACATGGGCTTCTCAGTGTTCACCATAGAGGGTTGACGACATGCATAACTTTCTGCAGGGAGAAATTATAAGGTCATGCCGAGCCATGGGAAAGCCAGTGATCGTGGCTACAAATATGCTTGAGAGTATGATTACTCACCCCACTCCCACACGAGCAGAGGTTTCAGACATAGCTATTGCCGTCCGTGAAGGTGCGGACGCAGTTATGCTTTCTGGTGAAACCGCTCACGGAAAGTAAGTACCTTTGGAATTTGTTGATAGTCTTCTTTAATATCATCTAAGCTCATAGCCCAGTAACTGCCAAAATTTTGGGGCATCAGGCTTATCGTCAGTGTACTGTAGATATGTTTTCTGTGCAACTTGTAAACAGGAAATTGTAGCTTCTAAAATCGCAGCTTTGGACCCGATTAGAGAATTCCGCACTCTAGTGCCCTTAGCATTTCCGTTTTCCTTTGGATTAGGTATCCATTGAAAGCCGTGCGAGTGATGCATACTGTGGCTATGCGCACGGAGGCAACCATGCCAGAAGAGGAGGCTCCTTCAAATCTTGGTCGAGCATTTAAGGTACTACGCCACATTGCTGCAGCATTTGCAGGAAAGGACATTCAAATCTTTCATGGAAACTCCATGCACTATGTTGACTTCCTTGAAAGACACTGTGTTGGATGACATTGCCTGCAATCTTCTCGTGGGCTCTGTTGCGGTTAATGAATTCATTCTGGTGAGAGTAATTGGGAATGGTGCGATTGTGCTGTGATTTTTTACGTGTTATTATTCATTGTGCTGTTCGTGAACAGACACACATGAGCGAAATGTTCGCGTTTCATGCCACCTTGATGTCGAACACATTAGGGACGTCAATATGCGTGTTCACACGTTCAGGTTTCATGGCGCTCTTGCTGAGCCATTACCGCCCTGCCGGTACCATCTTTGCTTTCACAAACGAGTAAGTTTTTGCTCTGAAAATAGGTGACATTTATTTCAAAAATATCTTAACTGCTATTTTGGCTCTATTTCATAGATTATTTCTGCAATATTTAAGCATGCATTGATGTTTTGTGGTTATTGAAAGTTGTGTACAGGTTTTTCTGCAATTTAGCGTAGATACAATCATTTGAATGGTGGGTTTTCAGAGATTGTCGTGGACTAGATTGCTTGATACTTTGAGGTCTGAGCTTGGTGGTTTTTTGTACTTTCAGCAAGAAGGTGCAGTCAAGATTGGCACTTTATCATGGTGTAAGGACTCTTCACATCAACTTCACAAATGACGCTGAGGAAACATTCGTCTATGCGCTCAGTATCTTACAGGTATTATTATCATTTTTAGCATTATTTTGCCTTACATTACAGTTTGAAGTCAAAGCTTCTTAATATTTGGTCAAGAGTTGCAACATTTCTGTTTATTTTTAACACGGCTTGAACAGCCGTCTTTCTCTTTGTTATTAATTGATTATAGTTCCCGTTGGAGGACTACATTCGTTTCAAATCCTTTTCATATTTTTAGGCCAGCCTTTCTTGAAAGGTATGGTAATTTATTTTTTTGCTACTTCAAATGACATTGTCATTGATAATTCCTCTATTTGGTTGTTTTTAGAAAAAAGGAATGGTTCAGGATGGCGAAGAGGTTGCCTTGGTGCAAAGTGGAAGACAGCCCATTTGGAGATCAGAGTACACTCATCACATTCAAGTGCGCAAAGTTCGAGCATAAGTCAGCTGCAAGCAACGCTTTGCATTTCTAATATTTGCAATAGTTAGTCGTTGGAGTCTCAACTGTGCCATATATCCCGCTGTCGTTTCTTCATTTGAGACGCACTGATTCTGCTTCTTCAATGGTGCATTCTACTTGTAGACCAAGTGTTCGTGGTATTATTTTTCGTTCGAGCGCAATTATGTTTGAAACCAGATAACGGATTGACTTGCGTTCTTATTGGGGGTTCGACTTACAACTATTAAAACGTGAAGCGATTGACATCTTTCACCGAGGACAAACGGGTTTACACATCAAATATTCATTTCAAATGTTTCCCAAACCCGCCTTTAAAATGATTTCAGCACCATCCAAGCTGCATTACGCCACCAGTTAACATAAAAATTTATAGATTGATATTAATTCATGCATCCCTGGATTATTGGCGTGAACTGGTACTCAATCCTGCTTAACACCCTTCACATGTAAATTCAAATCTTGTGTAAACTTTACAAAAGGTTGATTGTGAACTACAGTTCTGCAGGAAACACTGCTTTAATTGTGGTCGCTATTTCAGTGCATGTACTTCTATAGTGGTATATCCCAAAACACTGAAAAACGGCTCATATCTCACAACTTCAATCGTGTCCGTCGCTTGTTAATGGAAGGCGGTAACTTTACATCTCTGCATGTATGAGGAGTGTTGCAGAATAGTGGTAATACAGAGATGAGTAATTTTATGCATTGTCTGCCGAACCTAAACTTTTTTGCTCTAAGATGTCCACTGTATCGAAGTGACACGATTCTTTGCTGTCACGATGAAGTTTATGGCAGTCGTCCTAATCCTAATGAAAAAATATTGCTTCAAGATTTTGAATTCAATCACTATTCTGAATTTATCAGATTAACACTTTACACAAGATTTGAATTCAATCACAATACATTGGTATCATTAGTAGTGTTGAATTTAAAACAACTATGTTTTTATTTGAATTTTTTAGTAGTATGTTAAGAGAATTGTTTGATTAGTAAGATAATAATCTTCTAATTGACTATTATTGAAGAAAAAGTTCTAACTTTTCAACAAAATTAAAGTTAAAACGTGTACTTTTATATCATAATTGAAAATTTTAACATTAAATATGCAATTTATAAATATATTCACACATTGTAATCTATGGACTAATCCAAAAAAGAAGTGCATAATTTTATGAAAGCTTGTATAAAGTGTTAATCTGATAAATTTTATTACTTGATATAAAATAACTTAATACAAGTCATACTATCATAAAATTCTTTGATACTTTTAAATTAATGAAAAAATATTTTTATGAATTTTATTAAACTTTTTTCTAAACTTAAAGAATGCATATACTACCTTATTAATATTTGATGGTTATAGCATTCTTATACATTAAATGTTATAGATACTTACACTATTGATGTAAGTAGAAATATAAAAAAATAGGCTGAAATAAATGAATTAAATAATGTTTTTTTGCTAAAAACACTAAAGAAAGCTTTTTAAATGTAATTTGGATTTACAAGTATTATATACAATTGCATTAACTTCTCTAAGAATTTTACTATCTTAAAAAAATTATTAAAAAAATTAATGTTAATCTTAGTTTATAAGTTGGCCAAAAAGACATTCCTTTTCAAATAACTACTAGAGTGAAGAGAAATAAAAATAAAGAAAATAGATGAAAGAAGCACATTCATGTTGGGCCAAAATCCAAAAATCCTCTCAAAGGGCTTTGATTCTAAACTTTGATACTATGAGTATATTATGTTCCAAAACTTAGGCATATATCATACAAATCTTTAGTTTGGACTTTAGAACTAGTGATATTTGTTAACTTAGAGCTTGAATATTTTACTCATCAACTTTTGGACTAGAATTTGGTGCTATGGGATTTGGTTGATCGAAAGTTCAATAATTCAAGGTTTAGTAGAAAATCATTTGAAGAATTTGATTGAGATTTAGAATCAAATTTGAAAAGTCCTCAATTATATTAAAGGCTTTGGTTAATCTAAAATCTAAGAATTCAAAGTTAGCAAAATGATCTTTTGAATAGTTTAATTAGAACTAGCAATCAACTCTAAAAAGTGTTCAAATAAGTTGGACTCCAACTAACTCTAATTTTCAACAATTCAAATATAAATAGCTTCTATAAAATAAACAAGTTAAATACAATATCAACATATAAAACTCTACACAATCTATTATTACAAGCCAATCTAATACAAATTTAATTTAGCTAGTACAATAGAATAAGAAAAGAGAAACTATATTAAGTAAAGTTCAAAGGAATTACTTTGGATGAGATGTGAAGTTTTAATAAGATTAGCAAAATATCAAAGATAAGAGTTGTTTCTACTTAGGTTCATTCTCTACTTATGTTACTTCTAATTAATTACACTGGCTAGCTATTTTGTTTAAAAATATATCTTATTGTTGTGTTTTAATTTAATATGTTCTATCCCAAATATTTTGTTCTAGAAGGAATTAGATATATTTATCTTATTTTAGATTTTTATTTAAATTCTACTGGTTTGAATTTATTTACTATCTAAATCCTACTAGTGCAGGCTTCTATATTACTTCAAACTTATTAGTCTAGGTCTAATTCCTTATTAGTAATATTAACTTTAGAAGCTTCAATATAAACTTCTTACCACTTAAATTCTAGACTTTTTAGAATTTTTGTATGATGTAATATTTATTTTTGTACCTTCTAATGTTATTGTACACTAATTTTTAATATTTGATTTTCTTTTTTAATTATATATAAATATATTATCTTGTTTAGTTATATATAAATGTATTATAAATATATTTTTATGAATTACAACATGATATAAAGAAAATATTGTTAAATACTCTTTAAACCTAGGTAATATGCTAACCAATTAAAGTTATTGTTTGGTATAAAAATTGATTTAATTTTTCAATTTTTTAATTATAATTTTATAATATTAATTTTTTTAGCAACAAAAATAGTATCTAAAAATTTTCAATTAAAAGTAAAAGACTTGTAATTGATTACCATATATTTAAGCGTCTTACAATGTAAAAAGAGACTTGATGTGAGTAAAAAAAATTGTGTTTGTTTTATTAAAAAAATGAAAATATCCATAATTTATTTCTTTAAAGCACGAATATTACCAAAAACAAAGTAAAAGATATAACTTATAAGATAATTTAGATAAAAATGATTTTATTATATATTAAAATATAAATTAAATTAAATATAATTAAATTTTAAATAAATATTTTTATTCTATACTTACCATGGTTAAAAATAAAAAAATAAATAAAAATAAAATAGATTTAATATCTTGTCAACATAAATAATTTTAATCATGTCTAAACAATATACTTATAATTTTTGTATCTTATGCTTAAAAAATCAAATATTTATTTTGGAGCAAAAGCATTTATATGAACTAATGTGATTCCTTGAAGTGCACCTTAACTTTTAGATTTATTAAAAATCTTAACTTTACATTGTAAAGATAAAAAAATTTCTTTTTTATAAGTTTTAATTAAAAATTAGGCATTAATTATGTTTTAAAAGGTTATTAAAGGGACAAGATTCTTGCCAAATAAAAAATCTCAAAATCAAAGTCTTAATAAGTCTTGGAGGTAATTTTTCTAGTTGATATAGTATTTTTAAGTTTAATATATATATATATATATATATATATATATATATATATATATGTTACTTTATAAAAACTTATAAATTATAATTAACACTTAAGAGAAGCATAAAAGAAAAATTATGAGTTTTTAGTGATTTATTTTTAATTAATTAAAATCAATTTTTTTAATATAAAAAATTCTAAGATATCAAAAAAATAGCTTTAAATTAATATTATTATTTTAGAAAACTCAAAGAAATTATTATTGAATTATTGTATAATTTATTTTAAAAAATTAGTAATTTATAAAAGACATTTACAAGATTTTTTATTTGAATTAATTTTATAAATTTCTATAGGCTTTTTATATGGAGTTATAAACAGATTCAAGTACTCTACAAAGTTTTCATACTAATCAAATGGTTTTAAATACTATGGTGACATGATTTTCAAAAAAAAATTAAAAGATGAAACTACAGTGAGTAAAAATTAACAGGAAGTTGGACATATTGGTCTTATATAAATTGTAGCACTTTGGAAATGAGCAAGAGGATTAGATTAAGGGCTTGATGCCCTTTTAAGATCTCTTATACACCACTTGTGTGCATTAGTCACACTTAGATCTTTAACCATATAATCAAATTACTACTAAAATGAAATCATTGTTATCTACTTTTTTTTCTAATTTTACTTTTTATTTTCAATTTATCATGACTTTATAAAAATAATGATAATAATAATCATAATAAAAAAATCATACCTAAAAGTCGTCCTTGTGATTATACAATAGATTCTAAGAAATTCATTAACTACTATTTGGAACAATTATTATATTTTTTATAGAATTATCACTTTAAAATCAAATCAAAATTGATATTACATCTTGTACATAAATTAAAATTTAATATATTAGGTCTTAATGTTTGCATTTTTAATAAATATAAAAAATGTTCCAAATAATTATCTTGATATTAAAATCTATTATTACTTTAATTAATGTTATTAATTTATTTTTATTAGATTACTTATTTAAGTTATAAAAAAAGGTATTAAGATATTATAATAGAAATTTTATTATATTTATTATCATATATACATCTATAGTTTTAGTATATGCTATTTTTTCTTTTATTTTTTCTGATTGTCACAAATATTATAAAGGTATAAAAAATTAATATTTCCTAAATGTCAAAACCTCCATTCATAATACAAAAATAATATAAAATTCATAATAACTATCAAAAAGAATTCTTAGAAATATTTTTGCTTAATTTTGTAATTTAATTTTTCACAACTAGATTAGAAATAAAATACTAATTTTTTAAATTAATGTCATAAAAAAATCTCAATAGATTAGTAGATTAAATTTTGCATTGTATCATTTAAAATATTGATTCTTCATAATACACGTAATTTTTTTATTGATAAATAATGAAAAGCAATGTCCTATGAACATAATATATACTATAATTTTTTTATCAATAAAAAAAAATATATGTATGCATACATACAAAATGAAAGAAGAAAAGAAAATAAATTTAAAGCATTAATTATACATATATTTTTCAAAATTATTTAACAAATCTCTCTCTCTCTCTCTCTCTATATATATAT